ATCACTGCACCTCTAATATCTTGTGCCGGGCTTGCCGGGCGCGTGGTGTTGCCAACGGCGGGGAAATTTTCGAAAGCACCGTCAATTTATTCATATACGGGATTGTCATCACCATAGCTTCGATACTGCGAGCTTGGGATTCCCGGCTTTCGTGACGGGCATCTCGATCGGTGGGACGGTGGGTAGAGGTAGAGGTGGAGGTGGAGGTTGTAGTAGGAAGTTGGGTTTGTAGAGGAGGCAGTCGTAAGGATTCGTCGAACGTGGGTATGCGGTTGTGGTAGATGGGCGTCATGGTCTGTTGCATATGAGTGCTTCGCATAGGTGCAGATTGAGGCGGGCCCATTACACCAGGCCTTGTAGATGGAAGAGGTTGAGGAGGATTCCAGAAGGGACCTGCTGACATTGGGATTTGTTGAGTGCGGGCAAAGCTTTGATGGTTAGAATAAGTCATAGGAGATGCTTGTAGGTAGACTCTCGGATCATTTGTGAAGCGCCGACGTTTGAAATCTGGGGAGGGAGATTGCATCTCGATATCTTGCTCGTGTTCATGATGGGTATGGAGGGGTTGAGGGTATGGGTGTCGCCTGACCATTTGTTGGGGAGGTGGACCTATACGTGGCGAATCTACTCTACCGCTTCCGGGCATTTGAGCGAAATAGCGTTGCCTCTCCAGTTCGCCGGGCTGGGAATGGTACTGTGACTGTTGCGGCTGGTGCTGATTCTGCTGCTGGGACTGGTTATTCGCGCTGAAAGACGGGAGAAGTCTATCGTCACGAGGAACGGCAGCCCCAAATGCCGGCGTAAATGGTGTTAGCGGTGTACTTGGCGTTGAGATGTAACGTCCGTTGCATCTCGGACACCGAATGGGATCGTCCGATGTTGAAGTTGGTGGACGATTACCGACCGCTTTTCCAGCTCTTCGTGGCTGGTAACGATAATTGGGGTATTGTTTTTGATGACGTTGTTTTTCTTCCTAGGTATCATAAAATCAGCATGGTCAAAAATCACGGGCCATTACTATGTTATTTACTTCAGCGAGCCTTCTCCATTCCTCTTTTACGTTTGGAGCCTGCTCTCGCCACTGTTCGCCAATGATCTTTGATATTTCGGGATTTGCAAGACCGGGATGCTGGGCGACGACCTGTGCCTGATAATGTTGACGGTAAAGGATAAATGCTATAAAGAGATGATGTTAGCTTCTGTAGTAAACACAAAGGATGCCATCTCAATAAACAAAGATTAGGATGAACATTGGGTTTCTGGAGCCCTTTTCAACAACCAATCATACGATCATTATCAATCATCATTGTCAAAGAAAAGTTTTAAGCCACGCACCGTTTCGAGGTCGTGGTATCTTTGGGTCAGGTTGACAAAGGCACACTTGTTCTGTGACGGCCGTATCAGAAATTGGCAAAGGTCCTCCGGTGGTACTACTGCTTGTGCTCGCACTATTCAATGCGAGATCTCCGATTCGTGGTTGATTTGCACTCTCAGTATCGAGTGATGCGACTCGCTTTTTCGACAAACGGTCAAAAGTTGGAGGTGAAACTGGAGTTGGAGGCTCTGAAAGCTTGTCTGGGAGAATTGGCCTCAACGAATTCCTCCTACTAGAATCTGTTGAGATACTAATAGGTGATCGAGGCGCATCTCTACCAAAATTACCGTTGGTTCTGCGTGCTTCTGAAATAATTGACATTATGCTGGTTCAATATGAAATTAAAAATTGATGAAGTTTTTGATGTGAATGTCACAAGTATCTAATGGGAGCTCCAGAGTATAATAGATAGAAAGGAAAATAAAGAAGAGAGAAAAGAAGGGTAGAATGGCCTTCTTGATAGTGACGAAATGCTTTGTATGCATTGCCACTGAAATAAAGAAAAGGACAATTCTATAATATCTCAATTCATCCATACTCAAAATCTGGTTGTGTCATTCTGTCCATTCTAGGCATTCTAGGCATTATGGCAAATGTTGGTGTCTTTGTTGTCTCGGGAAGACTGCACAGCTGCAGTTTCGCATGCGTTTTTCTTTGTCTTGAATGAACTCCGTTGCCAATATTCAGTCCCAGTAATATTCCTTAATTCCCAAGAAGTGAAAAATGAAAAGGAAGAAAATGCTTTGGTAACATTGGTTAAATAACCTTGCTTACCAAATAAAGTCGTAACTGGAATGTTTACTTCCAATTTGGGAGGAATTTTATTCCCAATTAGTCTTTAGCTACTTAATCCATGAATAACTGCAAACAGAAAACCCCCTTTAGACGCCAAACGAAGCGAGTAGCTTTTTGATAAACCCCTGTCTCAGTGGGGTGTAACCATGCCAATGAACTGCATCAGCCGCAGCGGATGCTGTCTATGAAATGAACCCATTACCAGCTTCACCGTTCATAATAGCGGCACTCCTCCGTGCATCAATGAACAAATCTTCGCACTCTCCTACATCCATCACATCAATCTGATTGCGCCCGCTTACTCGCGCTAGTATGCTAGATGGCGTTAACAGCTGCAACGCATACCTCAAACTAATTCGTGAACCATGTTCTGTGAGTTTGTCCAATGCAGCTTCAGTTATGGCTAGACCTTCAACTGTAACTCGAATTCGAAGAATTCTCTTTATTTCATCCGCCTCGTAAGCATTTGTGGGAATAATCAAAAGACGAGCCAAAAGATCAGAAGGAATCCCATGTGCCGAAATCAAATCTTCGGTGCCACGGATAGTGCACATGCCACGATTGGAAGCGAGAATCACGATGGGGGAGATCGTTGATTCGAGAGCACGATTCAGATATGTGAAGCATTCAATATCGAGCATGTGAACCTGTAATTTATTAATGATCGAGAACCGGGAGGCGTATTGAAGGCTTGATACATACCTCATCAATAAAAAGCACTCCTGGAACAAGCTCTGCCACTCCTTGGTCAATGTATTTGTTGACCACTTTATTAATCTCCGCTCGTAATTTCTCAGTGATCTCAGTCATCTTTGGTTTCATCAATTGGCCCATCATACTCATTATGTCTTGTCCTCCTTGAGGCCTGGCGTTTGCGATATCCAGGTCATGTAAAGTAACGTCCTGCACTATCTCCTTTTTCTTGTGAACTTCTCCTTTTGGTATTGGTACATATTCTTCCGCCTCCAAGTCGAACTCGGTCGCATATGCATCCGATCTGCCAACGCGTTTACAAGCTCCAGTATTTGCCTCGATATAGATGACATCTCCGACTGTGACTCTTTCCTTTTGTATAGCTTCGTAAATGCTTGGATCCAATCGTAACTTCTTTTGGCCCTTTGCGCTCTTCAACCCGATCAATAATGTGCTGATAGTCTTGCCGTAGCTTCCCAGTGGATTTTCGGCTTCTTCAGGTGTTAATTCTGTAACCTCTCCCTCATAAACCTCCTTCGTCTCGCGAACCTTTAAACCAATGGCTCGTCGAAAATTTTCCATCAGCGCTTCTGTTTTCTTTACTTCCGTCGAATATATTTCGCTTGCGACGATGGGGCAGAATGGCACTTTTGTTCCGAGTTCTTGACTGATAGCTAGGGCAAGAGCTGTCTTTCCAGTTCCAGGTCCTCCTGCGAGTAAAATAGCTCGGCCGGCCATTTTTTGTGAACGAATTAAGTCGACGACCACACCACAAGCCTGTAATTAAAATGTATCAGTAAAAGCCTTGCCGTCCACTATGCCACGCCAACTCACCTCTCGAGCTGCTGCTTGTCCAACAAACCCGCCAGCTTGTCTCTCAGCAGTCCCATCATTTCGAAGTCCGAGACCTTTGATATGCGTATGTGCAGATGTTCGATTGTCGCGGGTGTTACCCTTAACATCGCTGAGGTTTACCATATTTGTGATTTATATGTGGTCAAAATAGAGAGTAATCCTCTTATCAATTTTCAAATATGTTATCGGATACGTAGATTAAAAATATTTTCAAGTATCACGTACTGTACTAGGAAAGAGATTGATTGTAATTGGACAAAATCAATTATTCTTAAATCTTGAAAATGAAGTTATGCCAACCTGAGAATAATTTCGCGGAAGGCTGCACATATAAACGCGACGGAAAATTAAGCGTAGATCGTGATCACGTGGTATGCATAAGGCTGATCATCATGCAGTTTCTATTAGAGTTTTATTAAGCCTGTAGGTGTTTGTGAACTACGGCTATTTGCAGCTTGAATATGAGGCCTCCCGTTAGTGTTGTATCTGGTTGGTAGTTTTTGGTAATCGGTCAAGCTTGCAGTATACATTTGCATTGATCATTTAGATCTCGACGAGGGAGAGGTGCAAAATATACAGAATACTGGTTTGTATTCTGTGTTATATCTCTTCTAACGGCATCATTTAATTGCTCCAAACGACCGACTTTCCAGGCTTCGGCCTCCTCATACCTCCCCAATTCTCGTATCCGTCCCAGTCCTTCTTTTTTAGAAATAAACTCCTTAACGATGCACGATGCTGATATCTGCCCTACCTACGAGCTTATGCAAACGCCGTAAAGTAAACTGGAATCTTATGAAATGTAAACGACAACTCCTATACAAATGAAACTGTCTTCAAACGACCTGCCAATTTTTAAAGAGAGTATGGTATCCCAAACACCAGTAAAACCCACATAATAAAACAAACAAAATATATAATCAATGACAGTCAAGGAACTCTCCATCTTCGCTGGATCTATCAGCCGTCCTTGGGCGTTCGACTAACTCAGTGGGAGATTCGACCATTCTACCGGCCCCTAGTTGACTCAATCTCAACTTCTCATCAAACATGGAAACGAGTCTGTCGGAGTATTGGTCAAGTAGTCCTGCTAGAACTGTCTCACTGATGGATTTGGACTTTTGACTTCTGTCGCCTAATGCTACTGAAGTGAGCCTTAATTCTTGATCTAACTCCTTTAGGCTTTCTTCATCGAAAGTTTCGGTAGATAAAAGCTTTTTCCGGTACGCGCGAAGTGTTCGACAAGCTTGCTCCGTCGCCATGCTAAGTGATCCAAATTCACTTATGCCACTGCTGGAACTTTTGCCCCGACCGCGTACATCAACAGATGCTGTCGATGGACGCCTTACCTCTCTCGTTTGAGGACTGCTTGGACTGCGGGATCTGTTTCTCGGAGAAGTTCTACGACCTGAATCATCTGAAGCGGATGCAAAATGTTTGGATGACATAGCCGGTACAGGTGGAATTGACAAGGTGGGATTTTGATTTGCTAAACCGTGCTTCGAAGTCTTACGTCGAACTACTCTAGGGGGTGAAGACCGTCCAGCAGGTGCAGCCATTGGTGATGCCCGTTGAAACTCGGCAAGCTCAGCTTTCGGCAAGACTTTTCTCAATGGTTGTCGTGAAGTTGTTGATTCCTTTGGTGGTGTTTCATCACGAGTGCCATCATTTGATTCGGATTGAGGATGAGGATAAAGATCCGTCGTGTTGGAAGCAATATCCCACATCATAATTGTGCCATCTAGACCTGTGCTTATTAATATTCTAGATGATGAATTGGTATTCTCCAGGAGCGCCACGCCTGACACAGAAGTACTATGACCCCACTCTCGATCAAGGAAAGATCCAGTATTCCAGTCATAAATACGAACTGACTTGTCGGTAGTGGAGACACCTGCAAGAATCGTACAAGGTCGTCCAGAGAGAGTACCAGGTGTACCCATGGCAAGAGAGTCTAGAGCGACAGCGTCTGCTCCATCATAGTCCGTGGCCCGAAATGAGTTTACAAGACGGCCACTAGCTATCTCATAGGTAGCCACAGTACGATCCAATAAAGACACCACAAGGTTACCTACTTGAGCACCGAGACAAGGCGTCATCGAAACAGGAGCAGCTTTCAAGGTAATGATACGGACTGGTACAGCAGCCAGCACGTCGCCTCCTGCTGCTTCTTTTTTCACGATTTGCCTGATATGAATTGTCCTGTCCATACCGCAAGATATGAGCTTCTCGCCATTCTCGGCGAAAAACAAACCACATACGCCAGCAGTGTGTTCATCTAAGGTTTGTACTAATTCCCACTTATTGAACACTCGACGGAATAATTGAATGGTGCGGTCCCGACTAGAGGAAGCTATCATAGTTGATGTATCGTCCTCGTAGATAGCGATATCTTGAATCTCGGTAGAATGAGCACGAGTCTCAAAAGTACATGCACCAGTAGATGGGTTTAGGATCTTCAATATCCCATGCTTGTCTCCGGAAACCAAGAATAAAGCTTCCTTCGATACTCGTACGACCTGGCATGAATTGGAAGCCTCCTCATCCATGGATAATTGATCAATGCCAATTGTGATCGAACCTCTGCTATTTCCATGCAAGTCCCAGAAGGCAAGGCTGCCATTGACAGACCAAGTGAGAAATGAAGCGCCCATTTGGTTGTTTTCGGGTAGGAGTTGGACACCCATTACCGCATCTCCATGTGCAGGTTGTTGTGTATTTTGAAACCCGTGGTCCGCATCATCGTCGTATTTGCCCCAGATCTCAATCGTATGCCTAGAATCAACCGTAACAAAATTACCTCCGGCGTATCCCATTGCACATAGGTGGCCAGCGTCAACTTCGTCGTTAGATCCATCTATCGAAATGGGTGATAGTGGAGGGGTGCTGGGAGCCAGAAGGGTGTCTAAGGCTGCCGTTTTGACTTTACCATTACGGCCTCCTATCCTTACTTGTCGCGTTTCCATTTCAATAGCAACACATGTGACAGGAAATCCAGTGCTCAAAACTTTTATTAGCTTTTGGCCTTCCGTGCTATCCAGGAGGCAAACGTCTCCCTTTTCTGAACAGACAATCGCCCTGTGGTCAGAAAAAGAAGCCACACAGGTGAAGGTCGCATCTACTAGGGGTCCAAGTAAACAGTTCCGACCGGTGAGAGTTTTAAGTGCTGGCTGTACTGGTATTGGTAAGGGTGTGCCGTCGAGGGCAAATTTTTGTTTAGGTGAGGGACATCGGCCATCTTCAACCCTCCAAACTTTTATGTGACGAGTTCCTACCGTAACTACATTCCCTCCAAGCCATAACATTTGCTTGATGAAACTAGTACATTTGTTGCTTGAATGTAGTTTTACAGTTCCAGCTTTTTGATTGATGGACCATACATGAAGAAACCCATCATTTACATTACCTAAGCTGGCCAAATATCTGCCATCTGGACTGAAAGATATAGCGGCTACGCCAAAGGTATGCTCAGTGAGGATGGCAAGAGGCGTATCTGAAGAACTGTCCTGCAAAGAGAATATAAGAACTCTAGGAGCGTACCCTGTCTGTGTCTTCATCAGCCATTATACATACCTCTATACAGACCTGCTTACCTCGCCCACAGCTAAGAAGCGACCGTCTGAACTCAAAGATACACAGGTAGCCGCTTTTATTCTTTCCCTGCTCGACCATGTCTTTGATGACGAGTCACCTGATTCTAAACTTGTATGTGCGGTGGATGGTGCATATGGAATTGCAGCATCTCGAAATCCTTTTCCGTTTTTGCCATCGCTGGCATTGCTGGCTGGCGTTGAGGGTCCACCCAAACCTACATTACCTGCATTGGCGGCAACTGCTGTTGGAGAAGCGCGGAAGAAACGTTGTGAGTGTTTTCCCTCATCATCAATATCAACCACCACTACTGCGGCTCCAGCTGTATAGGCAAATATTCGAGACGTAGGAAGGCAATCAAAGCATGGTGGAGAGGATACGGTAGTTCCAATTATTTTCTTCAACGATAATCCCAACTCGTAGGGATTTCGGTTCTTATTCGAGGGTCGCGGGGTTCGTGGAAATGGAGAAGGACTAGCTTTCAAGCCGAGACTTGTGTTCGCAGCGAAGGTCCTTGAATTGCTGGGTGTTGAAGCCATTATCGACTATCCATGAAACAACACAAGATAACCTAAATGGAGGGGTCGAAGCTCGACTCGAGTACTCTTCAACTATTACCTGACAATGCTGATTGGTGCTTTAAATATTTTATAGTTTAGGAAAAGAGTTTGATGTGACTTTGAATCGCCTCGGGAGAACAGTAGGGTATAATGAACATGGGAAAATCAAAAACTATCATGACGTTAATTAGCTTGATGAATTTTTCCTATCGTGATTTTCTGTACTCACCGATTATACATAGAAAAAGAAGGGGAGTGGAGGGGAGGGGGCCGAGGAGGGGAAGAAAGGAAAAAAGACGAGAAAGACGCTCAAAACGTTGGTGACCCAATTATTGATGACGATGACGATGAATGAAGTGATGAGGAAACAAACCAGAGAATACAAACCAGAAATCAAGAATATCAAAAGTAAAAGTGGCAGACGAAACCACCCTTCTCCTCTATCGTTTTGTCCTATCCTATCGTGATATACAAATAATAGTAAAATGCTAGGGATCATCAATATTTCGGTGTCGACGAACTGGGATTCAGTTAAAAAAGTGAGAGAAAGGTCTGTGGTTAACCTTGCCCTTGTCTTGATTACCAGGGCATCTTAATCAGGGGAAGGCTCGGGAATGGGATCTAATCCACAACAAATTGATCCTTTTCCAGAACGTTATTGGAAGATTTTAGGTTTAATTGCCAACAAATTAATCTTCCAGTTTTGGTGTTGTAATGTTTGAAAAGGGAAATGAACGTTGTTGTTTATGTTGGTAGCTCTCCAGATTTTCGTTTTCGAATCAGATTTATATTTAAAGATCAATCAACAATGTCATTCATTCATACATCCTCCGTACATATGTTTAGTACGGTTGATTATACTTCCAATCGTGCTCTTACAATGGAGACGTACGTGACCTACTTACGGTGTAATATAGGTAGAAAGAGTACCTAGTCATATTCAAGCACCACCCATTCTATTGGATATATATCTTCCAACGACCCTCGACCCCTAAAATTGGCTAAGACAATCCCCAGATATATCGAATACAACATCAATAGGATGGCAGCAGGCCAATTAAAAATTCGCCGATCAATACATAATCCTGTTCCTGTACATTGGGTAATCTCATAGTCTTACATTAACATTATACACATTCGAGGACAATTCATGATCAAAAAATCCTATCTTCCATCTGATCGTCGAGACTAATCGTCTCTGGCCTCCGAGGTTCGGAAGTTCCAGGTCGACTAGTCGTAAGGACAGGAGCTGCTCTCTTCTTCCATTCCGGTTTGCCCCTACCTATACCTTCCTCTCGCCATCTCTTGGGAGGCTTTACTCCCAATTCAGCATATCTACCCCATACGCTCTTTCCTCTTTGAAACCATCTTCTCTCCCGGTCTGCCTCTTCTTCTGGCTTCGGTACCCATTTAGTTCTCAAGATTCTCCGAATCGCTTCTGGAGATACTTGAAAACGATCGGCCAATGCAGGCGTAGAATATTGCTCTGGATATTGAGCATGTAGTGCTCGAATACCTGCCTGCGCTTCTGGTGATAATTTCTTCATCGGCTTCCAACCCTCAGGGAATTTTTCCTTCAGTGCTGCTTTTTGCTCCATCCAAGTTTTACGATCGGGTGGCGTCCAATCATCACGCACCATGTTTCTCTTCGATGTGCTGGCTTGTGGGGAATACGGCACTGCTACTGCGTTGTCAATTTTGATGCTTCTGAACCTCAATGACTCCACGGGTTTATCCCATCTTGGCTTTTTCATCGGTTTTGAAAATATGTCTATCGGTTCTCCTTGGGTCCATGTCTCTTCCGTTGTCTCTTCCGGGTCAATGAATTTTCTCGATTTCTCTGCTTGCCATGGCTGTTTCAATTCCTTTGATTCCCTTGACTGCGAATTTGCTAACCCGGAACTTGTCTCCGCTGCAAGCGCATCTAAAGACTCGGGTGTGATCTCCATAAACAAGTCGTCCATATCATCAATCTTTTCGGGTGTAGTATTTATGTGCCCTTCCGTCGCAGAAGGAGGTCCTTCTTGATTTTCGATAGGCGCATCTTCGACAGTATCTCTTCTGGGTTCAGATGAATAAGCCGACCAGTATGCTCTCGAGTGCGAAGGATGGAGAGATGGAAGTGAGGGGACATTGAACCTTTGGAAATTGGTTCTTTGTGGTGGGTAAGTGGATGTGCTTGAAGCAGCTAACTCAACTTGGGCTACATTTCGTATAAATAATTGAAGAGTTCTCTTCGTGCAAGAACAAGACATGGCTATTCACACTCTTGGATGAAAAATAAATTTATGCGCTCTGGGAAACATTGGGATTTGATGGAAAAGAAAATCTTCGCCTAAGAATTTGACCGGGGTAACCGGGGTTGGTTCTTATCGGTCAAGATGCTTATCAGGCTCAGGGTTGTAGCAAGGCAATAATGGACCTTCACCACTTCTTCACCCACCAGTGATCTGGCCAAAACTTTGTTGAATCTACCTACCTAGGTACCTATTAACAACACACTCTTTTTTTTAACTTTGGCTTCATATCAGAACGGAATGGAATGGACTTGAATGTAAATTTCTCACTGTCCCAAACATTGACATTCACTGTTGCTATGTCATTTATCCAGATCCATCTGATTTTACATGTTGATTGTCCATCCTCGTTCATACTTTTATTCCAGGAAATGGTTTCTTGCCTGGCTTGGACCACTCTATCTGAAAACTCCAATGCCGAAATACTACCCAGTATCTACATAGCGTACCAGATAGTTGTTAGTCTATGATGCCCCTATACATAGATTGAGTGGCATGAAGCGTCTATTTTTAAACCTAATTTTCCACTTCTTCATAAGTTTATATTGAGCAATTCTCTCTTTGTTTCTTTTCGTCAAACGATTCATAGATTTTCCGTCAAGTATCGCCATTATTCCTATGGCTTGGCCAAATCCTTTCCGCCGAAATGATGAAAATACTCGCAACGCTTGGGGGTACACCTTTCAATGGACTCCTGAGCATCTTACAGAAGAACAAATGCATCCCATGAAGTTTTCATATGATGTACTGGCTGGAGAATGTTTAACTCGTCTAGATAACATATCGCCACCCACGTCTGGAGAATTACCAAGAAATCAAAGCATCCTTCCGGATCAAAAGGAAGGCAAGGAGAAACCCAAAAGAGACTTGTACGCTTTGTTGAGAGATCATTTTTCTGAGGATGAAAAATTGGGAGAATTATGGAAAGAGGTTAACACAATACCGGATTGGGTTGTGAGTGGTCTAGTGACCTTGATATTGGTGATTTTGCTCAATCTATATTTAGGACTGGGATCAGATTGGAAGAGGGCAAGAAGTTTTTTACAGATACGGGGGGCCTGCGTTGACTGGTGTATGTCATCTATATCACACAATTCTATGTGAGATACTGATATGGCAAACAGCTTGCATATCAATCGTTGCTAGGGGGAATGGGTGCAGCTAGAGTTACAGAGGTTCTAGCTAGGACTGGAGGCTTTTCTACAAAGGTAAGATCGTGCCGCGAGAAGTGCGGCTTGAACACGCATATTACCTCTTAGAAGTTTCTTCTTTCTGTTGAAAATGATGTTCACAAGAATACATTCAAGGAAAGGCAGCCTCAATTCTGAATCCTCTCAAAAAAGGCGCATCCTCTATTCCCGATAACCATCTGATCAATTAATAGTCAGCGAGAAGAAGAATGTTTGAAACAACTCAGCACATTCTCCAGGTAACGGAATCCATTGAAGCCATCAAACCCGGTGGTGCCGGCCACATATCCTCTATAAAAGTCCGCCTCCTCCACGCCGCTGTCCGTCGCCGGATTCTTGCCCTAGCCAAAGAAAAACCCTCCTATTATTCCATAGAAGAATATGGTATCCCAATCAATGATCTCGACAGTATAGCAACCATCGGCACCTTCTCCACAACCCTGATATGGCTCTCCTTTCCTCGCCAAGGGATTTTCCTCCGCTCCCAAGAAATAACCGACTACATCGCTCTCTGGCGTCTCGTCGCTCACTACCTCGGCACCCCAACAACTTATTTCTCCTCTCCCACCTCCGCAAAAAATATCATGGAATCTATCCTCCTAACCGAAATATCACCCTCCCCAACCTCTGTAATCCTCGCTAACAACATAATCCTATCCCTCCAAAACCAACCTCCTGCCTACCCCTCCCGCTCCCTCCTAGAAGCCAACGCCCGCTGGCTAAACGGCACCGAACTATCCAACGCCCTCGGACTCGGCAACCCATCTCTTTACTACTGGTCACTCGTAGCAGGCCAATGCATCCTATACATAACAATAAGTTACGTCTATAGAAGCATCGACTACCTCGATCGCAAACAGATCAAATTCCTAAGAAGAGTCTTGCCAATGGTGATACATAGTCCAACGATTGGATTAGCAACCCAAACGGATTTCGCGCTGCAGTATGTTCCGGAATTCGACACGAAGACGGAACTTGGGGAGTATGTGGTGGGCATAAAGCAGAGTGGTGGTGTTGAGAGGAGGTATTTGAAGGCTTTGATTTGGGCGCTGGCGGGGATGGGAATCGGTGGTTGGCTTGTTTGGAAAGGGGTGGGGGGTGTTGTGAGGGGTTTATTGGCTGTGGGGAGGCGTGTGGTTTGGTTGTGGGGATGAGGGATGAGGAGTGGGAGATTAGTGGTTGTATATTTGTAGATTGGTTGTACACATGAGTAGGTAGCCAGCCATGTATATTTTGCCAAAAGAACTCAGCTGCATACAGTAGCGCAATGCCTCACAATTTAAAATGAAATTTAAGAGTATTTAGTGAAAATTCTATATTTCGCATAACTACTCGTCATAGGTATCCTAGCTACATTCTATCCTCGCTATCTCATGTATCATACAACCGCGCCGCATGCCGTCGCATTTGCATTCGCTTTTTCGTGGTAAACGCCAACTTCTCAACTCCTCGCAATGCACCTCTTTAAAAACAACAAAACAGCAAGGAATATCTCTTCTGCTTCGAACCCAAACCAAAACCAATGAAATGCCCCCAAAACTCCAAAAGTAAAATGCTCCTCCAAATTATACCGTATCCGTCTTCCATCATGTCATATACACATCCCTTCCCCTTCTATCTCCAAGCGTCGCCAGTATCTAACACTCCATCAATTCCACGGGTGGTCTCGCTGTATGCGCCAAGATAGGCTTTTCCGTCTCCAAGGGACTCATACCCCAATCATCCCCCGTTGTATCCTCCACCGCTATCGCCGGTAAATTGGGACTGAATCCATGAGCCTGAGGATCATAGATAGTCGTCATACTCGCGCTTCTTCCTCTGCCGTATTTCGACGACGCAGTCGATCCATTATCACTCATAGGGCTAGCGGGTAACTCGGTATTGGGACGATGATGTAATTTAGCCAAGGCTTCTGCCAAATCCTCAGCGTGAACTTGCTTATTGGGCGCATCTTCCATTTTCATTTCCCAGCCATGAGGAGGAGAAGGCGGTGGAGAGATGAAGAAGAGTTTTCCCGCGTCGGGAAGATTGAGATGTGTGTCTTTTGGAGAGATGGATGTAGGTTGACCGAAATATACGCGCACTTGTTCGCCCATTATTTCTTCGCCGTCGAGGATTTGACGGATGCGGATGGCGGATTCTTCGGAGAAGAAGGAGACGATGATGCGGGAGAAGGATTTTAAAGGCGCCCAGGTATGGATGGGTGCGGAGGTGTTGATTAGCTCTTTGATGGATTGGAGGTTATCGGGGCGGAAGATCTCGGTGTCTTTGAGGTTGGTTATGAGGAGGGTGTTGGATGGGGGCGTGGGTTGTGTGAGTGGAGGGAGGTTGGAGAGGTCGAGGGAGAGAGATTTATGGGATCTGCGACGGGAGGAGAGGGTGCTTCCTGTTGGGGAAGTTGGAGTTGACATTGTGATATTTTGCTGTGTATAGTGGTTTGATTGTAACTGTAGTATGTATGTAGATGATGTGCGGTGTAGTGAAGTGTATTTGATAGACAAGTTCTGATTTGTCTTTATACTTTGATTGTGACTTTCGGAAAGAGTTATTCGAAAGGTGTTATCTTTTCTTGTAGATGGATATCTAGATAGATAGATGTGTTCCGTTTATTGATTGATAGAGAGAAGTAGTGATATAAAAAAGAGGAGGGCGAAACAATTATCTTTGTACCTCTCAAAAAATTGGAGCTTGACAATCTGTATCTAGTAGTTTCCGGACATTAAAAGTGGTGGCCGCGGTCTACCAGGGTCCTTCTTTACTGTTTGCATGGAGGCGAATTATTAGTTCTATGGCGCAGCAACACAAATTACCTAGTAGATGAGTGGAGTTTGGCACGCAAAGCAAGCAATGACATTTAGTAAACCTTGTCCACCTCTTTCCACCTTTTTCCACTTTTCCACCTTTCCACCTTTTCTATCTTGTGTCTTGTCGTCTTGTCTTGTCTTGTTGTAGTAGGTAGTATAGAAAATGGAAGTCGACGCATCAATCTAACCGATAATGTGAAAACTGTCAGCAAGAGAACCTTAAGTCCCAAGCCACTAAATCACAAATCAGATTTCACATCTCTTACTCATTAGGCGCTTTCATTCTATCTGGGCGTCGTCTTTTCCGATACGACTACGAAACTACGAAAACATCACCACCAAGAAGCCAAGTGTCTTCTTTCCTTTATCCGTGTTTCTTCCTTTTTTTCATGATAGACCCTTGAGGAAGCGGAGTTTCCGATGGGAAATTGTCAATAACAATCTTAATGATCTTATATTTTGCTGAATTCATTCTTGTGTACATATTCATATCCCGTATATACATACGAAGTACCTGGGGTCACTGGATATCACGGCTAACTTGCACTAACCGGGTATCTGTTATCTTATATCTCATATGATAGTGATTCAGAATTCACATGCGTCGCTTGATTCGATCATACAGCAAAGTGATATTATGTCTCCAGTTCTAATAACTGTAGGAGTGTCTATTGATCTACCTTTGCTAGGACGTCTACAATCACAATATCATTCAACTTCACTCCTATTCATCCATCCACCTATTCACCGTATAAATGCTTAAATGCTGAGCCCCAAGATTACGAAAAGGCAAATAATATGAGAATGGAGATTGAAATGATTACCAGGAGAGGATGTCTTTCACCTCCACATCCAGGCTGCCAGTGTCGATGCCAATGCCAATGCCAGAAAACCCCAAGCCCCAATCAAGAAACATCATTGAACAATTGAAAGCTTAGATCTACTTGTTGTCCATGTCTTTAAGATTGTTTTGATTTCTATATTGTGGGGTTTTACAAACTCGTGTCCTTTAGGATCTTGGAGCTTCCTGGAAAGGCTCCAAAATCTGCAAAGCATCGAAGTTGCCATCGCAATATCTGCAGACTGGTTCTTGCGTGTACTCCGTACAAAATCTCAGTGGAAAAGTTTCACTTGATCGGCCAAACGTAAGTAAGTACCAAGATCAAATTCATTTATCTTGCACATGGCCCAAATACCACACCCGGATTGGCGGCGGGGTTAGATAGATGCATGTACGAGAGTAAGAGATTGGACCCCAGCTGCCCAGCATTTTATCCTGTCTGACAGTCTGAAGCTTCGTCTCCATATTCTCTTGTTGAGGGCGCAGCGGGTAATTAATTCCTCATGGTATAAGCTTTTGGTTATTGGTCCACTCGTCGTCATGATAATCAATGGCGGGCTTTGAATTCTGAAGAAGCGAGAGTATGGCGCGTCATGAATCAATAATGTTACAAATTCCAAAAGTTTCACTTGTCTACTCCAATCAAGCACCAAATGAATGTTAGAAATCATGTAGCTATAGCCCCCGGTGCAACAACATCACCCCTAATACTCAGCCTTCTTTTACACTTCCCCTTGCTAAGTACTGTAGTAAGGAGAAACGAGGTCAACATACATATGACAAACTTCGAGACCGCAAGGACCGTTTTCAATCTTTCAGCAGGTCTCTGGAGGCGTAGTTTATACACTCTTGAGCCTTCTTCCTTCTCATCAATTTTCTTATTCGTATTCTTGCCACGAGGTCTTGTCTGAGTTGATCTCATGTTCTGGCCAAACACAGCCTCCTATCCACATTTTGGTGTACTATGGTTTACCGTAGCTCGGTCTTGGTCCGTATTATATAAGCAACATTCAAAATAAGGATCGGGTAAACCTTTTTACCGATCCTCCGAGACAATGAGGACAAGGAATGTGCTTGAGCCTCTATTCTATCAACCGCAGTATCTTCTGAATTTCTATTGCAAAACCTAAATTCCATCACACAACACCTCAGCCTTGCAGACCGCCTACAGTCTTACCTTCTGGATCCATTTGCGACTCAGCCTGTTTAGGAAATACTCAGTGTTACAATTGAGTTCAGCCTAAGGATTTGTCCGTCCATCTTCGAATTTTCGAGAGTCAATTTCACCGCACGCGCAGCACAATTCGCCCAGCAGCAAATTTCTTTGTTAACTCCGCCGAGATGGATTACGACCCTATGGTAATGGACCAGGAGTCCTCGGGACCTCAAGTCAAGATCACAGAGGTATAATTCCATTTTGTTATAGTTGACTTAAATGGTGTGGAAGCTCACGCGCATTATGTCATAGGCTGGTTCACATCACGTCGACTTTGAATTATCCAATGTAGACCTCTCCTTTGCAAACTCCCTCCGTCGAACAATTCTCTCAGAAGTTCCAACCATTGCTATCGATCGGGTACAAATAGAAGCCAATACGTCAGTTCTAGCAGATGAATTCATCGCCCATCGACTCGGTCTCATCCCACTGAACTCCAAAAACTGTGATGATGTTATTTACACTAGAGATTGCGATTGCGATGGAAACTGTGAACTTTGCAGTGTTACACTTACCCTTCACGCGAGATGTACGGGAGATGAAATTATGAAAGTTTATGCTCGCGATTTGGTGGTAGATCCTCAACGTGCTAATAAATGGGTTGGGAATCCTGTCATCACTGATCCCGATGGACTTGGACCGGTCATTGCCAAATTGAGAAAGGGACAGGAGTTACGCATGAAGTGCATAGCCTTGAAGGGTATCGCAAAGGAACACGCTAAATGGGCACCTACAGCTGCTGTCGGCTTTGAATATGATCCACATAACAAATTGAAGCATATCGATTTGTGGTATGAACATGATGCCGCAAAGGAATGGTACGTAAATGATCCTTTAGTGGGACCGATGAATTATGCTTACTTAGCCACTACAGGCCTAAAAGTAAATATGCGGATTGGGAAGAACCGCCTCAAGAAGGTGCCCCATTTGATTACGACGCCGTACCAAATAACTTTTATTTTGAAGTCGAATCTATTGGTAATCTAGAGCCTGATGCCATTATTCAACAAGGTATCAAGGTCATGCAACAAAAATTGGCTGCGGTCCTTCAGGATCTTACCGAGGGTGATGGACAGGCTAATGGTGGATATGATGCACCTCAAAGTCCGGATGTCGGTATGAATGGCCAAGGTTGGCAGGACGCAGGTTATACTACACCATATGGGGGTGGTAATGCTTGGAGTGGTGCAGGTGGTGCAGCTACTCCGTATGGTGCAACTCCTTATGGTCAAAATGGTCAAAATGGGTGGTAGAGATTATCATTTCGAGGTTGAGGGAATCTGTGATTAAGTACCGAATCCTGGGTTTGGTCTCATAATGCCGGATTATTCAGATGTTTTACACCTCTTTATACTTCTCTTACCTTTGGACCAACATACCTCGATCTTGAAACAGCGCGATATTGAAGAAGCATGAATTTTCCTCCTATCCAGCAGCTGCATACACACAGATCGAGCAATCCGTTTCTCGCACTCATTAGACGGACGGACACCCCAAAAGCAAAAGCAAAAAAATCCAGTAATCTATCTACATAAAATAAAATGTACAATCAATAATTGTATAATTGCATACAATGGGGATGATCGGCATCATATGGATAGGGCTGGCGTTATAGGAAGTGGATAGGACGTTGATGGACGTTGATGGACGTTGATGGACGTTGTGTCACGATTCACCATTAGGTTTGATGGTGTTACGATGGTAGCAAACTGATTAATTAGGAGAACTTAGGCCTTGTGCAAACACGATCAGATTTCATCGAATTAGTATGTGATCTTGGTCACCTTAAGATCGTATGCGCACGCACCATCAGAAATCACGTGATAAGGAGCCCTAGAAGCCCTCAAAGCTCCTAGAGCTCCAGGAGCCCTGAGGAGCCAGAAAGCTCCTGGGGGCTCCCTTTATCGATCATTATATAGTCAGAGTAGTTTCATGGTTTAGGAGCTTCGTGCTCAACTTAGTTATCAATTAGTTTACCTACATTCTATTTGATCTAGTAACGAATTCACTTTCAAGTGAATACCAATGATAAAGCCTTAACCCATAACTACCAACCGACTAACCTTAGGCAGCCGCTGCCTCCAGTATAGTATCGTTACACGTTGATTGAAATGATATAATTACATTAATTATATAAAACGAAAGTATAAAAATATAAATATGATTATATTACTCAAATCTTTAGATTTATCTTAACTTATGTATTAATCAATGAATTAATCAATCAATAAATTACTGAATAAACAAATAGAATTGTTACGTTGTAACATTATAAACTATTATCACGTGTTATAGAATCACATGGATAGTCTTGTGAGGGAGCGAGGGAGCGAAGGAGCGAGATTCGAATCTCGCTCCCCAGCTCCATCGCTCCAATGTTGGAATACGAAGGTCTCAAGATCAAGATCAGTCATTTAGTATACTCTACTATTAGGTTACGAATTTGCATATCATTATGGCCATTACTTCAGTCCCTGCCTGGACGCCTAGTTATAACACAACTCGAGGACCCTAGAGCACTTCCCGAGTGATCTAGCCGCCAAACCTCGTAACAAGTAATTATAATATAATTATTTAATAATTAATAAATCAAATCAATTGAAATTTTAACTATCACATCATTATATAATTATTGTTAAAAGGAATGATCTTATGTTACGAGGTTTGCCGTCTAGATCACGTGGAAGTGCTCTAGGCTCTCGAGATGGTTTATAACTAGGCGTCAAGCAGGGACTTAAGTAATGACAATAATGATATGCAATTCGTAACTAATAGTAGGATATACTAAATGATTGATCTTGAGCACGAAGCTCTATACAAAGGGAATCCATCTTGATTATATAGACCTTCATGCCTATGGCTAGTCAGGACCGCGCAGCGGTCCTGGACAGCCAGCGTTCCTCAGCGGTCCATAACGTGACTTTAATCACGTTACCTTGGTTTAGTCATGTGACGCGGCATAGAAGATAGCCGTTGTAACATCCCATTAGTGGCTCACGTGCACTAGCCCTGTATATAAAGACCTTCTTACTTAGAATCTTCTTAGTTCTTTAGTTTTAGATTCTAAGTAATTGAATTGACTCCGTTTACGACTTTTCCGTCACATTTATACACACACACAAACAAGATACCAAGATAACAAAGCAAATAAAACAAAACAACAGTGAGATAGAAAATAAAATATAATAATTACCATATACCAAAGGAGTAGCGTAGACATAGCGCTTCCCAACATTCTAAACACCATACCCAATCCAAACCCAATGGAATCCTATGCATACGTGCATACATGCATACAGCATCCTATATCAAAACCCCTATGGAATCCAAAAAACACCATGTAATAAATAATGCACAAAGTAAACCACCTACACCCATTTTAAAGCTCCGACACAACTCAAACCTAAACTTAAACTTAAACACAAATCAAGCATATCTAACACTAGGTTGCCAACCCCCCGGCGGTTCTTGTCTCCACCTTCCATCGACCCAATTCCCTCCACTGGGACCCGGTGCACCCATTCCTCTTCTTCCACCAGTCATAGGAGGAGCTGGCCACATGTTTGGACCCTGAGGCCAACCTTGTTGATTCATTGCTCTTTCCTTTGCTAATCTAATTGCTCTTCTCCTTCTTATACTACCCACGATACAACTGAGTAATGCAAAGATGATAAGCGCTCCAACCGCACAAGCGACACCGATAACGAGATTTCTATGTTCTTCAATCCAGGAGGTGATTTCTTTACCGACGGATGCTCCTTCGCAGCCACCATTTGAACATCTGCCACCACCTTGACAAGGTGTACCATCGAGGAAGTTTTGTTGCATAGAGTAACAAACATTTGGGCCGAATTCGGGAGAAGCACAAGAGATTTGACAACCAGAGGATGAACAGGCATATGTATCGTTTCCTGTGGTGTATGACCCCATAATACTTTTGCATTGGAGATCACGAGAAGTACTTTGGCCTGAAGCGCAAGCCAATGAGGAAGAACCACCACAAGAAGTTCCTATCATGAGTTAGAATAGATTCAAAGTAGGAAGATGAATGAGAAATCTTACCATCAGGAGCAGTAACATCTGCAGGACAGGTAGCAGCAGTCGATGGTCCTATTTCTCATTGATCTTAGTACCCAAATCTATTATAACTCACGATAAACCCTCTTGTGGTGGTTCTTCCTCAT